TGTGTCTCTCTCTCTCTCTGTGTCTCTCTCTCTCTCTCTGACATCCGCTCTTCAGATACTCAAGTGTGTTTACTGAGGTCAAGTTTAGTGTCACAACAAGTGCAGCAACAATCATGTTGAGACTATGAGCAATGTCTTTAAAGAAGTCTGCAGACATATCAGCTTAAAACAATCATTACTGAACATTCAAGATCTGTCTCATCTATTGCTGGAGCCAGTTAACATGTTTAGTACTAAGCAGCACAGAATTTGGTCACGTGTGTGTGTGTGTGTGTGTGTGTTGCTATCAACTTGCAGTAAACATGTAGATAACTGCTAAATAGGGGTGTTTTTGTCATATAAACCAATCAGCCATAACATTATGAGGGCTGACAGTAAATAAACCTGATTATCATGACACCTGTCATTGGGTGGGATATATTAGGTAGTAAGTGAACATTTTGATGTTAAAGCAGGAAAAATGTGCGACTTTGACAAGAGCCAAACTGTGATGGTTAGACGACGGGGTCAGAGGATCTCCAGGGAAGGAAAAGTGTTGAACTGGAGACAGGGTCATGGGTGGCCAAGGTACACTGACGCATGTGCAGGGTGCCCTGGTGGTCATAATGTTATAGCTGATGGGCATATGCTCCAGTTGATATTTATTCTTTTTTACTGAAAAGCCAATTTAATCGATTAACACCCGTTTTTGTGGATGAGAATTAACAACTTAAAATGTGCTGAATGAAAGATTTTATAAGGAATAGCATATCTCCTTCCTGTGTGTGTGTGTGTGCGTGTGCGCGTGCGGTTGTCTGAGGCCTCGAGTCTGGTCGTTTTAGAGGCTAGTTGTTGAACCTCCATTATATATGCGACTCCCCATTCCTCCCATGTATCTCATTAATAAACAAAATGAACTCAAGCAAATGAATCAACGATGACACCTCAAGGCAAAATGTCCCAGCGACAGAGGAGGGCAACTGGTCTGTGGAAACCAGGAGAGAAACGAGGAGGCAGAAGACAAAAGTGTGTCCCAGGATGGACGTGCAGATAGCGTAGAAAGGTAGACACGTTTAGCACGCTAACAAACATTTGAATGTGAAAGGCAGAAATCCAGAATCATCATCATCATCCCTTGGAGGAAGGGATGAGACGATGTTAAGAAAAGAGGTTGGATGGAAACAGGAGGAAGGAGAGGAGAGGTTGTCGGGCTCTGAGGCAGAGCAGAGCCACTTAGCCCTTCCCCCACCACTGGAGAGTAGAGGAGAATAATGAGATTGTGCAGATGTACGCCAGACCTCAGGTAGGTCTAATTGTTTAATGCATTTTGTGTACCCGTTCAGTCATCCAGCAGTCGTACACCAGTAGAGCAGCTTCACCATTGTTCACCACCACTATGACTTGAATTTTATGTTGATACCACTTAATTTGTAGTATGTCAAGTATATCAAGAGTGACATTTAAATGAAATGTCAAGAGACTTGTGTCAACACTACCCCAACTTACGTGGGCTTCGACACGCTGCTCAGGTAATGAGGATGGCACTTCTTCGAAAAGAGTTATGCAATACACGTAAAAGCCTACGCTCAATACGTGTGTGTGTGTGGGAATATACATATAGCTAAACAGAAACCACTTCTATATTTTTTTCTGTTCCTGTGGTGTTCTGTGTGTCTTTTGTTTCTTCGCACAGTGGGCTTGCAGGTGTGGTTTTTAACTCAACAGGCCCGGGGTCCTGCAATCAAAGGACTGATGTGAAGATGAAAGTCTGTTTTAGTTTAAAGCTGCCCTTTTCATGAGGTTTGGGCCAAATGACAGCATCTGTGTGTGTGTCTTAGAGATCAACATTCAGTAGGAACAACATGGTTCTGTGCGGAAGAGGAGCCAGGACACAGTGGATGGACAATAGCTCAGTCAGAGAGAGAGTGATGGAGAGGGGAAGATAAAGGGAATCTGGGTTTTGTTGTATTGGAGGGCTCGCCAAAAGGGCACAATAAATCTACCCGCAGAGGAAGATCAGAGAATGACCAAACCCATCGCCCCACCTTACACACAGACACACACACACACACACACACACACACACACCTGAGATGTTCTTCGTACTCTGCCTGTAACCTCATGAATTTTGGAACAAAATCAAGTTTTATTGTTATTTATATAGCACTTTTCAAAAGAGGTTACAAAGGAAACCCAAGCAACAGTCAGACAAAAGACACTAAGAATACTAAATGGAAAAAGAAACCCAGCACAAAGATAAGTGACCACAAAAACTTCATAAAGTAAGATAAGCAGAAAGACTGACTCACTTGTAGCTTATTTAATGCATCTATCATCTCAGCTCAGCAACTGACCACAGCTACTCCCCCTTTTCACAGAATTTCATAGCCTCTTCTTTCGAACTCTCACACCCACCCACTGCTAAACGGTTTCCTGATAAGAGCTCACCAAGGGCATATTTCCTGACGTTTGCAGTGCAGTGCCCCTAAACCTCACACGTACTTTCCAGTAAAAATATGCGGCTGGCATTGCCAATAAATAGCTGCTCCTGAGTGCCGTATCATTGTCGATAATATCATCATACGGAGGTGCAGTACTTGATAGATTGGAAAGACAGGTTTGTGGCAAGTGCTGTAAATCCAAGCACAATCTTAGAAATCCTGGTTGGGAAAAAAGTGTCTCTCTCCCTCCCCTCAGCAGCTTGTCTCGAAGTGCTCTACAGATTCAATGCACTTCCCTCTAAACTGCTTCAGGAAACCTGTTCAGAAAAGGTCAGATTAGGACAGCTGTGAATGTTTGTAACCATATAAATGTGAAAGCTGAATTGCTCAGTTAACATTACTTATTTAAAAAACAATGTACTAATCCTCAGGTGTTCTCAGTTAAAGGACAGATTAAATTAGAAAATTATATCTCCTATTATAAGGTTATTTAGGCCTAGGTCCAAGAAACAAGTGGTCACATTCTGGTGGATCAGAATCGAGCAATTAAAAAAAAAAAAAAAAACACCTTACTTTCCATTGTGAAATGTTTGAACACACTGAAGCAAACTTGCAAATTGATTGCTTAGATGAGGCAGTGAAATATAAATGTCATATTAGATACATAATGTTACAGCCACATTTCCAAAATCCCATCCCCACTGATAGCTGTTGAATCTGCCAAATGCTTTCCCTATCCCTGGTACACATAGCATGTGTGAGCATTGCACTTGCGTTGCAGAACATCTTTTTATTTCAGCACCCATGTCTCAGGTGCAGGTGTTACAGAGAGTCGAGGTCTAGCCTATTTTTTCTGCCAGCAATGTGTGGTTAACAGCAAAGGTAGACACTGACGATGAGTTCATGGTCATATCAAAATGATACCAGCAACATATGCACCTTTCACTACAGTTTCAATGTATATATCTGTAGAATATAATATTATAATATATATTATGAATATGTTTTTTAACTGAACACCTCCTGTATCTGTTTCAGATTAAAAGCTCTTTGGAGTTTCTGTGGACACAATCTATTCATTTGTTAAAAGGCTTTTATTGTGTTGTATATATGAAGTGTAGAAGGATAAGGCTGGCAGCAGCAGGAAGACTCTGTGTGGACACCAGAGGCGTGTGAGCCTCAGCAGTTCAGCTATGCTGTCGTCACGCACCGCTCACACATGCTGTGAAGACCAGGCTCGAGTCTGTTGAGATGTTTTTTACTTTGTGGCTGAACTCTGCGCTCCTGGAGCTTAAAGTGGTCCTTTTATTAGACCATTGTGTTTTTTGTTTTTTCCCCCCAAGTACAGGAACTTTATATAGTGCATGTTGGCACCTGCTAATGTACCCTACTTTGCTTTTTCCTTTTTTAAATTTCTTATAGAGAAGCTGATAGCATACCAGAGGGAGTTCCATGCCTTGAAAGAGCGCCTTCGTGTGGCAGAGCACAGGACGCTGCAGCGCTCGTCTGAGCTCAACAACATTCTGGAGCAGTTCAGACGCGCCATTGCTGAGACGAACAGCAGCAAAGATGCCCTCACTAACTTCTCAGGTAACTTTAAATGCTTACAAAGACCCATTAACACCACCTGAACTGTAACACTGTTAAATAACCATAGCTTTCTTTTCAGTCATTTGTGTGCAAAGGATGTCGCAGTGTTGTCTGTGAATTCTGCAATGTTCCAATTTTCATCTAATTGAGGATTCCCTTTTGATTGGCTCTGCATCACCTGTTGAATGGATTGAAATCAAAACATGCAGGGCTCCTAGATATCTTTTTTTTCCTGCTTTTAGATTTATAGACATAGAAATCATCATGACACAGCGTTATAAAGAATACTAGATATTAATAGGGCAAGTACTTTTCTAAAAGCTGACTCATTTCTAATGAAAATAAAATGAGACCGGCTTTTTCCCAAGGTCGTTTTCAGAGTGGCAGGTTTCTATTGTTAAATCAGTCTCTTATAACCCTCAAAACCACTGGGTGGGTTATAAAATCTAATTGGCAGAACGCACCAGTCAAAAGACCATTTCACTGCTTAGCACAGCACATAATTCACATTAAAAATGTAAAAGGCTAATTTGTTTAGTTTTTAAGCTTATGTTGCACATTGTCTCCCAGTTTTAAAATGAAAAGGCCATTACATATTCAGTTTCATCATCATAATAGCAGTGTTTTTTTGAAACTGAACATTATCTGTCAATATAGTTTTATGTGAATTGAAATTATTGCAGTTATTATGCGTTTGGAAAACAGTTTTAGATTTGGTCATACATCATGCACACACACAAATGGAAAATGAGAACTCAGTTTGGTTATATGATTTTGCTTGGCTGTAGTAAACTAATAGAAAACATCAAAAGCAGTATGTACACCATATGATCATAGCACAGGTGGGGTCCTGCAGCCATGTAGTATTCATATTCTCTGGAAGAAGTCAGATTTTCTACTGTGAATCAGTCAGTATATAGTTCAATATTTTATTCTATGATTCTGTAGTCACAGCGTCATTGTTGGCATCATTTCACTGCTGTCGTCATATGATAAAACTGAGAAGAGGACTGCATTTAACTTTAGCTTCTCTTTGTCTTCTTTCAGATGAGACGCAGAAACTACTGAAGGAGCTCGCAAACAGGAAACCTCTCCAGGTGCCAAATATCTACCACCACCTGCCTCACCTTCTCAACAATGAGGGCAGCCTGCACCCTGCCGTGCAGGTTGGACTCGGCCGCACAGGAGGTGAGAAGCGTATGCGCACACTGCAAATTCAGTACAACAGTATCTTCCCTGATTTATGAGGCTTTTTTTCTCCAGAGTACGCATGCTCGTTCTACACAAACACATTAAAAAACTCCAGAGATCCTCATGACACCAGGGAGAGAATCAAGTCTCAACAAGTTTTCAGTTAGTGACTAGTTCACAACAAGTATCCTCTCTGGACTGAGCTTTGCAATAGGATCATTCTAAATAACATGCAGAGTTGAAGATAATCATAGTGTATGTACAGAATAATTCTGTGTTTACTTGACACGTTATTTATCCTACCTCTTACCTAGATCGAACAGGGATTTTCTCTTGCTTTCAAATCTCCATCATGCTTTGTTTTTTGTTTTTGTGCTGGCACTTGTGTGTTAAGATGGTTTTGTGTTGTCCTCTCTTATTGAACCTGAGAGGTTCACTGTAACGTTAGTGCTGTACAAAGAATGTTTAAACACAAACTGAACATAAGATTACAAAATCATTAGATATAGGCCACGATAAATCCACCGTTGTAATTAGTTTTTCACTAGGTAGTTTTCTCCAGTGAAGACCTAAAAGTGCCACATGTCCTCTCAAAGCTGCTGTTTGTCGTCAGCCTCTCCTTTCATATGGATTATTCCTCTCCTGTTTCACTCTTTCCTATTAACTCCTATTTTCAACAACTCCATTTTTATTTTTAAAGATTCACTTTGCAAGCAGCAGCGAACAGGATGTGACCTCTGCCATATCAAGTTCCCTCTAAAAGGATTATTTATCTGGCATTGTGAGCACGATAGGTGGAGTGAAATTGGGGTGCAGGTTTAGGGGCTGAGGATCTCAAATGGGGTTTCTTTATTCCTATCAACAATGGCTGAAGGAAAGAACAGAGGCCCTTAGAGAGACAAATTAGAGGAAAGAAAGAAAGGACACGTCTGGAACAAGTAGGAGTGTCTTGTCCCTGGCCCATAGCCTGTTTTGATCATTGAATACAAGATATTCCCACAGGAAACAAGAAAAATGCACAGCCTATGATTACCATCTCTTAGTCATTGCCAGTCTGTCTGGATTTATGAGAGGTGGGCAGGTATCTGTTACCCGCAGACAATGTTTTCAAAGACTCTTTCTATAGCGAATGTCTAGATGTCTAGCCACTGTCTTGTTCTTACCAGCTTCTCACCCTAAAACACTATCAGGTCCTGTTTACACCGGACATGATCTGATCAAGTAGCAGTCGGTACAACGGAAACTGGAAATGATGTACGTGTTTATTTGCAAAAAGAGCAGGGAAGAGAGACCCGACGACAAGTGGTCATTTGAGAGACTGTGGAGACGCATTCTAATGCCAGGTGTGGACTGACGCACTTGTGATTTGTTTCTTTATTCATACAGTTTAAAGTTACAGGGACAGTACACATTAATATACATTTCTGCAAATGTGCCAGTTTAGCCATCCTGGCTAATTTACAACTGCAGTCCTGGGGCAGGTGTAATGACAGGATCAGCAATACTTCATCAAAACACAAACCATTAAAAACAAGGACAACAATGCATAAAGCATACAATGGAGATTGGATCACCCAAGGCACATATCAATGGTAGGTGTAAACAGGGCCTCAGTTGTGTTATCTGGAATACACAGCCAAGCCGGATGTACTGCTACTGGGAAGCGATTGTGGATGTCAGTATTGGTGGGTCAGAGAGTTCCTCGACTGCCTGAGAGAAGTTTTGCCCCTCCAGCACCCGTGCATGCCCTGTGACATGCTTGATTACCACTGCCAATTTTCGCCTCAAGCCCCCGATAGTGCCTTTAACCTCCTTTTTTCTGCCTTTGTGTATTTCCTTTTTTTTTTCTCCTTGTTTCCATGCTAGTCTAAGCATATCTGACATTGGGATATTTATAGCTGTGCAAATTAGGACATCATCCCACTTTAAATTGAACAAGGATTACGTGAAGAAACAGTTCAGAGAACCTCTCAGACTGAAATGGTTGGAGTAGGGCCTGACTGAAGCCCCTTTCAGACAGAAACCAACAAAACGGCATTATTGTAAATACAGCCTTGCTTGTTCCAAACACATATATGGCCTTTGGCAAGTCCCTAGCTTGCCAACATGTGACAAGCGACAGTTGAAGACCCCTCCTCCCTCCCACCGCCTTTCTCCCCAATTTGGAATTCCTTGTACTGCAGTCTTTGCTGACTCTTCTGTTGGCCTGAGGAGAGAGTAGACAGTCATGTGCCAGCTGCTTCTTTTTTTTTTTTTTCTTATTGCAAAGAACCTCAGTGCGAAAGCCTAACACGTGTGACGGTTCACACAGTCTCCCCCAGATCCCACCCACTCTCCGTGGAGCTGTCCCTACTAACCAGTGCGGAGACAGGAATATGATCCCTCAACGGCTTCCCACTCACTGCTGCTAACCACAGTACTGGTATTTGCTTCTGTGTGAACAAGGCAGTAATATAAACCTCATATTTGCATATTTTGTTCCTTCCTTGCTGGTGAACCCAATTTCATGCTTCTGATATAATTGCTTGAACACTATCAGCAGAGGGTTCAATGTGGCATAGACATCTTTGATTCAGTGGATTACTCATTCAGCACAATCTAATCTAACTAACTAATCTGAAACTAATTACCTTGAGTGGCAACTATGTAGGTTTTTAACACATTCAACATCAAGGACCTGTCCTCAACCCCTGACCCCACAGGGCGGACTGATGGTTGAACACTGTGTACCAAACCTCACCCGTTTCAGCTGCATTGCCAAACATGAATCGATGCTTTCAACCACCACTGATTTTACATTTTCATTTCACAATTCCAAAAACAACATCTTTGTTTCAGTGTGGACCCTGATTGGCTAGCTGCATTGCTGCAATGCAACACTGAAGGAAACAAATAGGACGAGGTTCTATTTTCCAGCTGCAACAAGCTGTAACACATGTCAAAGCAGCTGAGCTTTGCACGGCAGAAAACATGTGCGTTTCACCTGCAGCTGTCTGCACATGGAGTAACGACCAGACTTTGTTGACATTATATATAATAACCAGGTTGTTTGCTTACCCACGTCCACGATGTGGCCATTTGGGATGCTTGTCAGACAGTGTTTCACATACAAGTGCGGCGTCGTGTCTTCACAGGCTATGGAGCTTGTACCATTGACCACAAACTAAATATTGTGAATTTCTTAATTTAATCGGTGAAACAATATTGTGCAGTATTGCACACAAACAGAAGAAATACAACAAGGAGTATAATTATTCTTCCTGCAAGGGAGCATCTATACATTGCTGGTTGGATAATGCAACCCATATAATGGGTAGTAAGATTTATGATGACTGCTTATTGGAAACTTGGAAAAGGATATTATACATTTAGAGTTGTGAACATTTTTACAAAAATCATATTTTTTTTTTGTAAGAATTGATTTTACCCAGAGGGTTTTTAATGATGAGTGGTGTACTAAGGTTGTGGATTGTAGGTTTTTCCACTGGTAGGAAGCTTTGTTTAAAAGGGGTATCACTTACTTGCACGCACGCACGCACACACACACAGACAGAGTGTCCCTCAGGCTTTGTGAGGCCTTGAAAGTTTAAAAAAAGGTTCAGTCAATAAAATATAGCATCCAGATTACTCAGGATGCATCTCATTCCCAGCAGCAACACTTCTCTTCCTGAGGAAAACATTGTTGGTATTTACTTTTACTTTGATACAGAAGCAGTCGTACAAATTATAATAACATTGATGCCTGATTTACCCCAAAGCATAACAGTTAAATAATAATTTTGTTAAATATCATCAAACAAATATACAATAATTATTAGTTACATTTGGGGGAAAAAAAACAACTAAACTTCAATCAAATTTGATAAGTCAGAGTGCATATTTACATTTAAGCAAACAATATAATGATATTTTGCTGGACATTACAAACACAGCTGAACACCAGCTCCTTTTATGTGCATGGCATGCCAAATCACTTCTTTTCACAGATGTGACGGAGAAGCAGACAAAAATGTAGATTGTTTCGCTTTTTTTTTCCAAGATGAGATGAAAGGATGGCAGAGTGAAGCGGGCAGGCTGATCAAGGGACACGGGGAGGGGCAGTCTTGGAGTCGGTCCTGCTCACACGGCACTTGCATGCATTATCACTCATTCACTGTCTGCCACCCTCCCTTATTCTGTCACTCTCCGTCTCTTTTCCTTCCTCCCACATTCTCCTTTCATCCTCGACCTACTTTCTTGGTGGTTGTGGGTGTCGCTATATGACACGGAGCTCAGCGTGAGAAACACAAAGCAAAACTGGGACAGATTCTCCACGCTGTGCAGATCACTCTGGAGGATTGAACCCTTTCTCAAGTCCACTGTTCGGCTCACTCATTCTGCACCTCAAGGCCCCTCGTTGCCCCCAATTAGCTCACTTAGTATGCTTCCCGTTTTAAACTACACGCACAGAGGAACACATGCACACATTAGCCCTGGTCCATCTACTTCACAATCATTACTGACGCCTATAGGGCACATTGTTTGTTTGTATCTTTCATCAATACAACACATGACTTTGTTTTTCTTTTCTCTGGGAAAGCATTGCACCGTTTTAAACATTATTATACAGATATGAGCTCAGAGATGATTATTAGCCTCATATTTGCAATCATAACTAAGCGCATAGTTGACTGACAAAATGAACTGACGACGATTTAGATTTATTGATTAATTGTCGGGTCATGTAAAAAATCAAGTAAAAAAAGGTTGTCATACTTTTGTCATACCATTATTCAGCTTGAACAATAATTAGTAACTATGTAATGTTTTATAGTCAGAGCCTCTCTTAAATGCTCTGTCAGTTCTGCTCTCCAATTTTTAGCTGGTAGTAAAAACTCATAATCTGAGCAAATGCCAGCTGTGATAAATATTTGTTACGTCTGTCTAAAGTCCAAACGTTGATGCCTCTTAAATTCAGTGAATCTCTTCTTAAGTTGTAAATTGAAACGTTGTATGTTTCATAATAAATGACTTTACCCACATTGTGTAAGATTGTTGTTTAAAGACACTTTTCGTTAATAACATGCAGCGTGGTAGAGCAGATGCATTACAAAACTACCTCATCCCTCCCACTGCCATCTGTCAGTCTGGCATGAATTCCTGTTCTTGTGGATTTAGGCTGATGTAATTAGTCGTTGTCTAACATTAAAGATTATTTGATTTTGGGTCAACTTGATTAAACGGCCACCCCTGCAGCCTTAGACACTTCCAGCTCTCACCTCCATACTGTTTTCTTCTCTCCCTCAGTTACCATGGTGATGGGGATCCCCACAGTGAAGCGAAAGGTGAAGTCTTATCTGTCAGAAACACTGCGTTCGCTCATAGACAAGCTGTCACCAGAGGAGAAACTTGACTGTGTCATTATTGTCTTCGTTGGGGAGGTGAGCTTTCCTTATTCATACAGTATGAGTCATAGCTTGCCCACAGTGATCGCAACTATTCTGCAGAAAGGTCTGTGTGTAATGTGACTTCCTCGTTTGATCCCGGCAGACTGACGTGGACTACGTTCACAGCGTGGTTGCTGGCCTGGAGAAAGAGTGAGTACCTTTCCTGACAGGTGGAGATATTGTAAAGGAGTGAAAACACACCGTTGCCCAGAAAAAAGTGTGTGTGTATGTCACACTTGTTGATGTTATCAATGATGTCCTTTCGTTCAGGTTTTCTACAGAGCTGAGTTCAGGCTTGCTGGAGGTGATCTCCCCACCTGCCGCCTATTACCCCGACCTCACCAACCTCAAAGAGACTTTCGGAGACTCCAAAGAGAGAGTCAAGTAAGCAATTCACACAGGCAGGACATCTGTGTTGTCTGTGCTCTGATGTTCAGTGAGGACAAAACGTGATTAAAAAATCATTATGGAAATCATGAAGAAGCCAGCCCTGAGAGACATGAAATGCAGGAGCGCTGTGATTTTAAAAAAAAAAAAAAAAAAGTAGAAGGATGAGTCAGGGGGGGACGTGGGAGGGGAGCGAGCAGGCAAGAGCTTTTAGGTAGGCTGCCTAGGTACTTAGTATTCCACAGGCATTTCTCAAAGTCAGATCAAGGTCATCAGCAGCAGCACCCTCTATCTCTTTCTTTCTGTAGTGCTCCCTCTTATGCTCCTCTGTACCTATCATCCCTCTGTAGTGCTAACGATTGGATTCATTAGAAATCTGTTTATGGTGCAGTTGGCGCCGACCACTTACAGTATGAACTCAGATACTAGCCTTTAGAGGACTGTGGCATGTTAGTATGTGGATGTTTGTGAGAACAGATGCTTCTGATGGCCATCTGAATAGTTACTGTCTTGTTCAACGTGGGCGGCCGTGGTATAAAAATGTTATATTTTAGACACTTGTTGTATGTGTGCATGCATCCAAGAGAATGGCATAGAAAAAAAGACTTATTCCAGTGCAGCAGCACTCAAACACCTGGCTGAGTTTAAGTGCACGTGGCGTGTGCGTTCACCTGAGTGTTAAGAGTGTGTGAGTTGCTGTGTGTGTGTGTTAGCACACTCAGAAAACTCTGTGTGCCACCTCCCACACCTAACTGAAAGCATCGTGAGCACCTGCAGTCCCTCAGTGAGCAGCCATGAGTCAGACCGCAGCAAGGGCAGATAATTCAGATCAAACAATTAGTGTGACAGCTCTTTATAAATGATTCAGATAGAGTCTGTTGTAACATTCAGTATAGCTGGAAGTTCATCATTTACACAGTTTTGCATGTGTGTGTGGTTTTATCATGTATGTTGATGATTTCTACTTTGTTTAGATGGAGGACCAAGCAGAATCTGGACTACTCCTTCCTCATGATGTACGCTGTGAGCAAAGGAGTTTATTATGTCCAGGTATGTAACTAAAATAAAAACAATGTTCCCATAGCAACTTGTTGGAGTGCATTTTAAGAAGGGCTCTGTAGACAGTTACTCATGTATCAGAGTGAAAGCCTGGTACTAGGCGAACACTGGTTTGCTTTTAGTTTGGAGCTTGTCCTACCAAATTAAAACATGGCGAGTACTTGAAACAACTGTGTGTTTTTGCAGCCATTCATCAGAGCCTGTGTTTTTTTTATTTTTTTTTGGTTTCTGTTTTCTGACTGGAGCCAGTTTCACTTATTCTGATCCTAATCCTCTTAGACTTCCACGGCTCTTATCTGTCGTCTTGGCTAAACTAGGCGTCCAATTTGGGAATGTTTATATAAATGTCTCAACAGAGAGCTAACACCAGACATTCACGGTTTAATTTCACTGTGTTGTTAATCTCCCATCTTTCTGTCTTATGCATGGGGTGTGTCATTTCCATTCTGTGCTCTCACCAGGAGGGAAGAGGTACTGCCTGTCCGACATCTGCTGCTACTCTAGTTTAGTGTAGCGACTCAGAAGTGTTTTCTTAGCTCAGTGTTCCCCTTGTAGGAACATAGAGGAGTCTCCCTCCTGCGTCTCACCCTCCTCCTTGCACAATTAACCCCAACTCTAAAAGTGGGTTACTTCTGTCTTAAAATGTGTTCCTCTCTTCCTTCAGCTGGAGGATGACATTGTGGCTAAGCCCAACTACTTTGCCACTATGAAGAACTTTGCCCTGCAGCTCTCGTCGGAGGACTGGATGATCCTGGAGTTCTCTCAGCTGGGCTTCATTGGTACGGTCCATTAAGCATGTGATCAATACTCGACATCCACTTGGGGTCCGTCAAAAGAAGCCAAATCTGTGTCGTCAGCGGAAAGCACAGCCAAACAATGCCGTTCCTGGCTAAGTGGCCTCTCTAAAGTGGTTATTAACTAATTATCTTAACTCTTGGCAAGGCATTGACATACTGTCAGACTTGTAGGGTTCGTGATAAACAGTCAAATGCAGTGTGGACGAATTCGGAGCAGCCAGTTAAGTAAAGATGGAAATTAGATTGATCCACATACAAATTGGGTCATTGTAAAGTAATAGAATTTGGCAGGGAGCATTGTAACACTCACTATAATATGCAAATAAGGAATGGGTATATTTTTAGACCAACTGAAACTATTAAAATTTTTCGTTTTCGTCCACATTATTGATTGAATCATCTTGTTGCTTCTGATCAATGAACGTCTGTAAACCTCCCTTATTCTGTTTTTATACAGGAAAAATGTTCCAAGCTCCAGACTTAAACCTCATCGTTGAGTTTATTTTCATGTTCTACAAGGAGAAGCCCATCGACTGGCTGCTGGACCACATTCTCTGGGTTAAAGTCTGCAATCCTGAGAAAGATGCGGTATGCACTGTGATTACTGTGTAGATACGAGTGTCACTGTGAGGGGAATGTGTCATATCATTTCTTCCCTTTTCCTTTCTTTAAAGAAACACTGCGAGCGGCAGAAGTCCAGCCTACGTGTGCGGTTCAGACCCTCCCTGTTTCAACATGTGGGACTCCATTCTTCTCTTGCTGGAAAGATCCAAAAACTCACAGTGAGTCTCACGCCCTCACGGTCCTTTATTTTCAGCAACAGTAGAGGCTGCTTCCTGTGTAGAAATGCTGACTTCCCCCCTCTGTCTGTGTTTTTAGGACAAGGACTTCCTGAAGCCACTACTCCACAAGATGCACGTCAACCCCCCTGCTGAGGTTTCCACTTCGATGAAGGTAGTACATTAGAATGACTATAAAAACAATTAATTGAATGCAGTATCCCCCGACTTCAAAATCTGTGATCATGGTGGTACAAAGCGTGTATTGTGTCACACAGGTGTATCAGGGTCACACTCTAGAGAAGACGTACCTAGGAGAGGACTTCTTCTGGGCCATCACTCCCACTGCAGGAGACTATGTGCTCTTCAAATTTGACAGACCTGTTAGCATAGAGAGGTACGTGTTTGCGTTATGTTTGTGTACACAGCTTCTTATCATTCAGATAACACGCAAAGCACATCCAAACATGCTGTATATTGTCATTACGACAACAACATAACAGTCACAGACAAAAATCTGTCTCTTCTCACTTATTTCTGCCTGCTGCCCTTCAGTGTTTCAGGTTTAGCTTCAGTGTGTCTGTGTGTGTCTGTGCGGGGATCAGCATGAGCTAATGAGAGTGCTCTAAAATAAGCATTGTCGGGCCAACCTCCTCCTCTCTGTGGAGCCGAGGTAGAGAGGCAGCAAGACAGTGAATATAAAGCGAGCTGATGGCGATCAGAGAAGACCCTGAAAAAGATGTTTGGTCTTGTGGAGATTCATTTTATAGTGATGAATGCATTCCACCGCTCTTGTAAAGATAATAAAGGAAGTGGCAGTGATTGGGAAAAGGGCCATCCAGCGTTCCACTGTCTGACTCTCAAGTGTTTTGTCTGCTTTTGAATGACACTGATTACAGCGGCTCAGACTCTTTTGCCTGTTGATTACACAACATCTCATCAGCAGTTGGAGAGAGACACAGCTTTCATTATGACCCGTCACTGCCTCCGTCTCTGGCCGGCATTTTTCCTCTGTCTCCTACTCTCTGCCTGTTTTTAACATTTAATACGAGTGAATACAGTGCACCAACAAACTAATGTGAAAACAACCTTGTTTCCGATAAAATAAGCGAAGCCACAAGTGAAGCTCATTCAAATCATCCTCCAGCTGATGAAAAAAGGCAGAAATACTGGATTTTGTAATGTCAAAACCTGTAGCTATGACCTGCATATGAGATAACCATTGAACTTTTGATGAACTATATCCTACTGACCATACTGACTGATCAGTTAATCCCTGATGACACAAGGTGTGTACATAGTTTTTCCACACCCATGTTTCATTTAATGGACACGACTTACCTAACTCACCTAATGAGTGACTTAATGGACCGTGTGTATCTGAGTGGCAGTTCCAAAGCGCAAGAATGCTTATCCATCTATGTAAAATGAATGCTTGATTTGTTCGGCAGGTTTCTCTTTCGCAGTGGTAACCAGGAGCACCCAGGGGACAGGATTGAGAACACCACAGTGGAAATATTGCCTGTCTCGGTAGGGAACCCCCCCCCCCCACACACACACACACACACACACACAGCACACACAACACACACACACACATGCAGTCTGTCAGCCCTCTGTGGTGTGATGTGCAAACAGTTTTGATTAGATTACAGTGAGTGGTTTTGCTTAGGGACAAAGTGTATTGATTATCGACAGGAATGTGAGCGTGACTGAATCGTTTGCTCGGCCAGAGGCGATACAATCTGACATTGTGATTCACACATCCAGTGTCCAAGTGCTGTTCAAATGATAAAACATTTTTAAAAAATCCTCATTTGTTTTATCGTATTTTACTCTTCTATCCACCTTTCACTGTGTTCATCTGTTAGGAACCTGGACTGCAGACCAAAGAGAAGTACAAGCGAACTGAAGACCGCTTTTACAGGATTGGTAAGTGGATTTGACAGTCTCTTACTGCTTAAATGTGTGTGTGTGTGTGTGTGTTTGTGTGTGCATACAAACACACTGAAACATCATGATCATATTACACACTCACACTGATGGTGTCTAAAGTGATAGACGGTGTACAAAAAGTGTGTGAAATGTTCTCAGTCACAGCCTTGTTTCTTTTTTTATCCCTTCCAATTTTCATCTGAAGTTTTATGCTCTTCGTGCAGTCATTTACTCATCTTTAAATTTTCTAATCATCTTTTTGTTTCGTAGCTTTTTTGTGGTATGTTCCTTGTAGACATGATTTCTTAAAAACAAAAAAAGAGTGCTTGAATGTGATAGATGTGGGAGTGTGAATAAGGTTCTTTTTTTTCAGTGAATCAGTTAATTTTGCCAAGTTATGTTTCACATTTGTTTTTGTTTTTCTCACTTGAGCACTGTGACTGGTGAATTATTGGCAGTGCACTCTGCATACAAATAAAAACAATTATAATACTGTGTGTATGTGTGTGCTTAAACACGCAGGTCATTTTGTGAAGGGTGTGGCAGAAGGGGCTGTAGATCCTTCCTTCAATCCTGTGGTGGCACTTCGGCTTTCAGTTATCAAAGACTCGGCTGTGTGGGCCATCCTCAGTGAAGTAAGCCAATCACACGCCTCACTTGTTAACCTCCCCTCCAGTCACACAACACCACTCTCTCCAGATGCATGCTGCCTCCTTTTTTTTCAATAACACCTCTTATAACACACATTGATTCTCTGCTCTCTTCCTGCAGATACATATAAAGAGGATAGCTGGCTGACTCTTCTGGACCGGGCACATGACTCATGGCCCCCAGGGGGACCAAAATCTCCTAGACTGCTTACGCAGGGCCTCTGGCACCTAGCAACCAGCAGTGAAGTCATTAGAGTCCACTAGAGTTGCTCGTCTGAGTTTGTCTGAGGAACGCCACCTCTCTGTCCCCGCTCTTCCTAATGTACTTTATTTTGCTTCTCATCGATCGATTTCTCCTTTTCTTTCTGCATCTCTCCCTCACTCTTGTGCTCTTAAATCATTTGTGAGAATGTGAATACTACTGTCTAAAGAACAACAGCGAAGTGTGTGAAGACGTCTGTTCCCAGCTCTGGCTCTCAAAGTGACTGTGTTGTTCAGCAGCTTTGATCACAATCAGAAAACTGTTCGGATGAATGAGGACAAATCATCACATCTGGGGAGAACCAGTCACCTGGCCACTGGTGTAGATGCTGCCAAATCCTTCTCTGTTACTCAATGCTGCCACCTTTTGGACGAGCTGGGGCTTTGCACTGTCACTAATGCCCTGGCAAAAAATGTCCGTGATGTTCAAGAATGTTGTCATCACTAATGGCCAGTTGCTGTCTGTTCTCGACAGAGGTGACAGAGCTCTAGATCAACACCAGCCCAACCAATAATGTCTCCCTCACTTCCAGAGTATTGTCAGTAACACTCAAATGCTCCACTCGTCCTGAAACACAAACTCAGGATGTCAGTAACAACTTTTACCGTAGGCCAGATTCTGTGGTAACGAGCCCAATCCATCAAGAAAATGAGTACCATGACACCTTATCTATCTGACCTCCTGTCTGACAGGCTGTGTATGACCTCAGTGTCCATTTATAGTAAACCAATCAGACATTGCCTTGGCGTCATTTTCCCGAAGGAATATATTGTTATATTGATATATTATTACAGCTATGACGATCTATGAAGGTGACTTAATTTATTTGAAATAAATCTTTAATTTGTACAAGAGGTAAAATATATTTTTATTCTATTAAGAGATGTTTATGGTAGTTCAGAGTCTGTTTTATTTGTGTACTGTTGTGGGGTTATTTTGGGTTTTTTTTCTGAATTGCTATTGTACATTTTGTTTTCATTATTACGGCTACCTGTGAAGTTTGTCTGCTGGTGCAAGTAGCTCGGTTCAGTGTGACCCAGTTTCTTTTCACTTGAAACAAAACGTTACAACTAAAACAATTCATTTTTACTGCTCCAAAACTGAACGGTAGGAGAGTTGCGAATAGATTCTGTTGAAATAGTTCTGGGTTTAAATTGGGGAAAAAATGTGCCTTATATCCAGGTCCCTTGAAATTGTCTCAGCAGCATAATTCCAATCTGTTCCCTCTCACTTTTGCCTACACTTTGATTGCTGGATATACTAATATTTTTAAAGTAACATACAAGAGTCCAATTAGTGATTGGATGTTAAGAACAATAGTGTTATGCTAAGTGAAAGTGGTTTTAAAAAAAGAGGGGGGTTTTGTACCAGATTACCATCTGAAACGGCGTGATTTGCACTGATTTTTCACTGTTTTTTTGTTACCATCACACCCTTCGCCATTGTACTTAAATTTTCCATCTTCACATAGTAGATGCTCATTTCACTGACTCCTCCAAATCCACGCAACGGTTTCTTTTGTCCAATCCAGTATCTGTGTTTTGATTGGACAGAATATTATGACTACTGATCATTGCAGAGTGCGCCTTTTTGCTGTATGATTTGGCTGAGGTTGTGTAGTACTTTCACTGATTGTAAATATATATAAAAAAAGCAATGAACATTTATCCTTTCCCTCACTCTCTCTCCTCTTCCTCACTTAATAGGTTATTGAAATTCACTTGACATGTTTTGTATTTATGTATGTGTGGCCAATGTTTTGAGTGGAAGCTATTTCTAAGTGAAACTTAAACGCTCACTTTAAATCGCAGTGGTTAATTCAAAGGGGGTAGTGAAGTGCCTTTTGGTGGAATTGATATGAAAACGGGGACAGTTTTTCTAATCGTGCTTGTTCACTTGCATGATTATTATTTTTAATTTATAAACAATGTTTTTTCGGTCGCAAGCAGCCTCCTCCACCCCCTTATCAAACCATCCATGCTAGAGATGTACTCAAGAAAACTGAAGTCGCTTGATCTCCGCCTCCTCATCAGATTCTTTTTGCATTTTAATTATTTGGGAGAAGATGAGAGCAAGCCACTGAAACGGTGGAACATTTTTTGAAAGGGGAAAGACACTGCAGACAGGATTGGCTTCTCCCTCTTGTCCTGCATCCCACAAACACAAACTGAATGCATGAAAACAGCATGAACGATCATGTGATCCCCCTACTGTATTTGTGAAAAGTGGACAGGAGACTAACCCCATACACCCATCAGTTCATGTGCCTTCATCTTGTACATGTGTATGCCTGCCTCTGATGTTTTTGACATCATTTTTCATGGACATCTTTGAAATAAATGATAAAAGTTGTTAGAAGTCATGGCCATTTTTTGTGTATGATTTTGTTCTACTTGCATTACTCATGCCATCTGCATCACCAGGTTTGATTTGGTGTCAGCTGTAAATTAACAAGGTGAAAGCAAAGTGAACAACAGATTGCCAATAAGAACAGAACATCTTTCTTATGAAGGGGGAACCAATATCAACAAAAAGATTTAATAGGACTGTGAAAATCCTGAAATAACTCAGAACTGTTAAAAATGTATGGGAATCCTAAAGGATTTTATTGGAAAAGATTGAAATCCCAAAGGACTTTTTGACTCAGGGATCAACTGCAAATGTGACCAGAAATTTAATTTAACCTAACGTTTTAACTTTTTTACAAATAGACGATGATCTGTCTAAATCACTTGCAAACTTCTAAACAACGCATACATGAAGAAAATCTACTTAACTGTTGCCAACAACTAAAAAACAAAAAAAGGCCCCAACAGGAAAAACTACAAGTCTTCCCAGCATGCAATTCTTTACCCCAGGTACTTCCGTTTTTCCCATAATGCCGTTGCACAAACATGGTGGCTGGAGGCTTCGGTACCGATGTCACTGTTGTTAACTAGCTGATTCTGGTACATGTGACTTTATCAATAAGCTAATACTGGTGTTAAAGTGGACTTTGCAACAATGCCGAAGTATTACGAAGACAAAGAGGAAGATAACAGAGCATGCGCCGGTATCAGAGAGGACTTCAAAGCGTGTCTCCTTCAGCACGACTGCGTGGTAAAGGTAAGGTAGGCGTCCTCTGGACATCACAGCTGACACAACGTTACAGGTCTGACACCAGGCTCTGCAGCTGGATACAGTCCTCGATTAAAGCTTAGAGTCCAGCTAGTTTAGTCGAACCGCACATTGTAAACAATCTACATTACTCCTGTAACAACTAGCATAGCCACAATCTAAACACTGAGGGCAACTATGGGAGTGAAACGTATTTGGACACACGACCAAACTCCACTGTAAAAACTGTCAATTTAATATTGTTCGGCAACAGTTACATTTAATAGGTGCTTCATTTGCAAGCTAATCAAAGTACGTTAGTTACCATCACAGTGGAGCAGCTGAGTTATTGCTGTGTCACCATTAGCGCTGATGGTCGCTTTAATCAGATAGAAACCATCATCAATCTGTAGCTGTTAGAGTTCACTGTAAACTTCACACACTGTGTATTATCCAGTTCAATTCAGAGGAGCTTTATTGGCACAGGAAACAGACGTTTAATGTTACATCATCACAGTAACGTAAAGCGTACAAGACATGTATATAAAAATGAGTTAGAAAATTAGTAACTTCATTAGTAGAAAACACACTTACAAATAAGGTCAGGTTGTGGCAGGTTGAAACGTATTGGGCAGCAAGACAAGCCCTGTCTTCTTCTTCTAGGATCATATTTAAATGTTTAATGGTCATGTATATTTGAATACATTGTAGGAGGAAGTGCAAATGTCTCAACCTCACCTGCTGATGATTTGTCTTTTTTTTTATTTTTTTTTTACACTTTTACAATTAAACACAAGAGAAAAGATTAAATGTTTAATTATTAGTGCCAAGAAAGTCACACGATGTCAAATACCCAGAAAAGACTGTACATTTGTCATGAAATATTGAGGTAATGGTACAAAATGTTTCTCATAACTCAATGTAACCTTTTTCGTTTCAGTATTTAAACAGCATTGCTTAACCTTTTTACAGCATCAAAGAGGTTGATATATACATACACACATATATATTATATACACATACATAAAACAATGTATTTTCAGTTTGTACTATCTGATCACAAAACGACCAAACACGTACCAGATACATTATTACCGTCCCACATTTAGACAGGCCTGAAAGCACCCAGTGTACTCTAACTTGTTTCTTCATTTGTCAGGAGGGGAAGATGCCCAGTGAGTGTTTGAAGGAAGGCCACTGCAAAAGCCTGCAGACGTCTTTCTTTGAGTGCAAGAGGTCAATGGTAAGTCCGCAGTGATGATGTTGCATTTATGATTAACTGGTGGGAAGTGGAGAACATGGGTATGTTTAAGCTTCCTCTTTTTTCCTCTGTTTAAAGATTAATTTGACTCGTGCTTTAAACTGAGCTACTAACTAACGTATGTCCTTATTTGACAGCTGGACACAAGGTCAAGATTCAGAGGAAGGAAAGGATACTGAGGACCCGTCTGATTGCCGCTGAGTGAATACTGGATGAGCACTTGTAAATACTTGAAATACTATGAATCAAAGAGCAACGCTCCCGGGTCAGTGTATGTGCAGCTTTACTATCCCACCTGAAGGACGTGTGTCAACAAAGGACTACCAAATTAAAAGAACAATGCACACTGACACAAGAATTACCATGTGTATCAGCAAAATGTAGCACTGACTAAAACTGGAGCAGTTTCTGGATGAATGTGTTTGTGTTGTTATAAAAAAAAAACACTTTAATTAAAAATTATCAAAAGCCTGCCTTAAACATTATTTCAAGTTTAATATGAAAAACAGTAATACTAATGCCTCCATTTTATTTTAAAGCAGCCATCATCATCTGCTTAAACTTATCCATGTCTACCTTCTTCATAATAAAAGCCTTGTGAGTCTTCTTCAGGAAGCCAACGGTATCTACAATCATCATGCCTCTGGTGTGCATGCCCGCCAGCTCTACGCTAACTGGATGATGATCGCTTTCTGTGATGAATGAATCGTCTATGGCGGCTGCCATGGCATACGAGTCACAGGAAACGAAACCTGAGCCGTCGACAAACTCTTTCTCGCAGCGCTCGGATTTTGACACCTTGATGCTGTAGCGGAAGATCTGTGCCATGAAGCGGGCTTTATCGGTGTCCTGCGCCAACCAGGCATCACAAAACTCCTGTCAACACACCGGGAGAGATGACGTGTTGATTGATGTGTCAACTTATTAAAAAGGCTTTGTACTATGTCTTAGGAATTGACATGTTACAATGTGTAAAAGGAAGCCTTACCCAGGACAGCTTGTTGTAGCAGGTAAACTCCCAGCAGGCCAAGTAGGTGGGACACTGGTAGTCATTCAGTACAATGTACGCAGCTTCTGGATCAGCAGCGAAATTGAACTCGCTGCACACTGTGGTGTTTCCTCGAGCTGAAAGAAGCAAACCTCTGATTACACACTGAACTCCACCATTACAAACACTTGTGTTACGGTCAGGGCTGCAGCTAATTTCTTTGATCAATTGATTCATCTTTCCGTCTGGATAACAGCAGAAACTAATGAAAAATGTCATATGGACATATTCAGCTTGCTTGTTTGGTCTGAATAACAGTCCAAAGATAAAGATATTCATTTAGAAACACAGAAAATCCTCACATTGAGGAATGTTTAGCAGTTTATCTTGAAAAATGATTTTCTCTCAGGAGTAGTTGATTAACATGCGTCAGGCTGTAAAAGATGTCTGGCACTCTGGCAGATTTGAGTTTCTAACACGACAGACATGACATGAGACAGTCATCTTTGTGCCAATTAGAGGTGTAATGGTGAAAGAAATTGAGAATTATTCAAATAAGTCCTGTTTCTCAAAAGTACATTATTTTGTCTCACACTGTCTCACATTTACCACCTGCTAAAATGCAGTGTTAACAAAGTAGCAGTTCATTAATTTACTGACATTCGGTGTTGCCTCCCATGATGTAGAGCCCTTTGAGTTTGCTCGGCAGAGACGGATCCATCCTCACAGCCAGAGCTAGGTTGGTGAGGGGTGCCGTGGCAACCAGATATATCTGGGGAATAAAGCCAAGGGTTGAAAGACCTAAAAAAGACGCTTCATATCATATACGCACACGTAAAAGTCGTGTCACAGCTCTCACCTCTCCTGGGTTCTCGTTGACAATCCTGATAATAGCCGACACAGCGCCCTCCTCCTGAATCAGGTCCAGACTAGGAGCGTTGGGGTCAGGAACGTCTCCCAGCCCGTCCTGCCCATGAAAGCATCCCGCATCAATGCTGTTACCAAGAATGGGCTTAGCAGCTCCTTTAAACACTGGAATCTGACACATGAAAAGAAGAGTAGATGAGACATGCAAACATATAACGAGAGGTAATGTTGTACTGCTGTTATTATTAATCAGCTTCCAAACTGATTTCTGTCTATTTATGCAGCATTAACATTCCTAGTTCTATTCTTACACACTTTAAGATACGGTTGGACAACATGGTGATACTAAGAGACAACGGAAATGTGTCAACAGTCCTTGCCAGAAGCCCTAGCACCCCCAATGCATGTGGACACAGGAAGTTAATAGCTTAAATGAACTCTCAGACGTATATTCTGGTAACAACTCTTTTCAGTTTAGTTATGACTCTTCATTTTCCTTTTTCTTCCTTCCATTTTTGACTTCTCTATAATTATCTCGTTATCTCGAGAAATCTGCCTCTTGTTTCCTCGAGATCACAAGATTAATTAACTTGTGATCTCGAGATAATGGCATTAAAAAAAAAAATGCACGCGCGGCCTTTCTTGCATGTTTAAAGACAGACTCCCTAATGTTACGGTTGATGCTTAGAAACCATCTACATTTGGAATATTTTCCGTTTAAATGTATAAAACTTTGTATGCTATGTTATCTTTATATGCTAGTGCTGACTGAGCTCATGCTGGTTGTGTAGCTCGTCCAGTCCCTGCCTCCACTCGTGGTTCGAGGAACAAAAACTGATTGTTGAGCAGTTTTGAAAACAGCCCTATTACTTGTCACATGACACCAGTAAATTCCAACTTACGCCTGACTACATTCTTGAGTAAACACACCGATGTTGGTTTAAAAACACAATATATTCCAGTCTGTCATGTCAGGATCATAAAATAAAGTAGAAGTAGTAGTAGATAGAAAACAACAGCACAAACCTCCAGTTTATTACAGAACTGCAGAACTCGCAGTATGTTCTTGCACACATTCTCCACTGTCGTGTTTCCGTGCACAGCGGTGATTCCCAGGAGCTTCACGTTGGGGGCAGCCAGCGCCATCATGATGGCCTGAGCATCATCCACCCCGCAGTCCACGTCCACCAGAAACTTTTTACTCATCGTGGTCCCTAAGGAGCAAAAGACTTCAGTTCAATAACAACGAAACACTGCTGTCCTGTCTAACGTGCTGGTTAGTGTTTAACTACTGTGGTAAATGGTTAAACTAAAGATAACATTTCCCCCCTACATGGCGGTCTACAGAAAGCTGTGGGGAGCTTCGTTTGTTTCGGTTGTTTAATTCAGCCAACTTATCTAAAACAGAAGAACATATGAGAAGAACTTGAGACAAAACCCACCTCTTCCCCTCACAGACTGGAACCAACGACGATCAGCTGCAAACAACCTGAGAGCAAGAGAGAGACATCAGTGACTGAATGGAGGGGAGTGAATGGGAGGAGTTACACAAATTACACAATGCATCTGAGCAAAGTCTTCCTCCAGTCAAACTAAATCTTCACCAGTAAAATTAGCACACAACATATTGAGACCCATTAAAAGTGTACTTAACTTATTATGCAGAATCACCCCTTTCAGTTTTCTATGTATATTGTATTATTACTACAGACGCATTCATGTGTAAACGTCAATGTTGCAGTTAATCTATAAAAATGCATGAAATATGTATGTTGTATTTATGTTAAATCTTGAATCCAGCTGTGGTAAAGTCGAACTAAACAGAAATACTCAAATTAAAAGTACCTAAACCTACACAGTTACAGTACACAATTATTTTTTTTGTATAACTCAAAGTTACTGTATCATAGGGAACATCAAACACACCAAACACTGGACGCTTCTCGTGATATGAGTGAGTTTAAATACAGATCAGACGCATTTCAGTCATTGCTGAATTTAAGGGCATGAAAACGGTTTGATCCATCAGTGATCGATTTATGAATTTAGGAACTTGTTCCGGAAGTAAATTTCCCCATTTGTTTAGCCCATTAACGTTTCAGACAATCCTTACATAAAGAGATTTAAACCTGGACCCGAACCAGCCAACTAAAGTGACCTGACAACATCTGAGTCGGAACAACAACAACAACAACAACAACAACAAAGGTTTGGCAAGCGGGAAAGATACATAACTTTTTTTTAGTAGTGAAGGAACTACTAACCACTCCGATGAATGAATGAACACTTATTATTACTAACAACCTGTTTATTGTTAGATAATAGTGTACTGTATTAGTAGTTTTATGTTGTGTGGGTGTACTTTGGAATAGTAAAGCTAATGTTAGTAACTCATTAGCCATTTAGCTCCCCAACAGGTCAGACACTTACTTGTTGATTGTTGCAGCAGATCAGAGAGAGAGATCATTATCTGCTCTTTATGGTAAAGGTTAAACTCAGAGGGTCGTAGAGTCCAGTGGCAGCAGTCACCAGACTGTGTAACCCTGTTAAATAAATCAGTAAATATATAGAAATCAGGTCAGTTGGCGCTAATTTTTTTTACTTCCGGAGCAAGTCGACATGGACGGCTGTGATAAACAAATGTGTTTGTATGTTTGTATGTTTGTAGTGTAAAGTGCAGTCTGACCTCTCCACGGCTCTCCTGGAGATAATACGAGACGTCGCTGCAGAACATCGGACAATCACCGCCATGCAGACAGATGGAGGACCGGGAGCGATGTCTCAGATCATTTCTTCTTCAATAAGCAGGCCGGAGGAAGACTGTGGTGATATTAGATATAGTTATATATATATAACGTTCAATGTGGGCAAGACATCAGGGTAGCCAATTAAAGATTGACTCACTGCGAAGTCAGAGATAGAGGAACGGGTATTACTTAACGATTACTTTAATACAGTAGTAAGAGATTTCCATATTTCAAATTATAGCGGGAAATCCCACAGCCGCCTTCTCGAGGGCTTCTTCTTCCTGCCTCTTCTTCCTCTCGGTTTATTGGTGGGTACACACGCCACTACTGTACCGGAGTGATGTCATTTCATGAGTGTATGTTGTATATGAGACTACTTGGAGACATGGGTCACCGAGTAATAAAATAC